GCAGAAAGCCTCATCTTTCCCCCGCAGAGCAGCTGGTAGTTTCGGACTGCTGACCTTGCAGTTCTCAGCCTGATTCGTAACCATTCTAATAGTTTAAGACCCCCCAAACCAAGGCTGTAGCCTTGATGAACCATAGACAGGCTATAGACATGTGAGACAGAAGACATGGCTTCAGATATGGGCTGGTGAACTTTGTCCGCTGGACAGGCTGGTGGCTGTGGTCCAGGTTTTTCCTGCTACTCAAGCTGGAGGAACAGTGGGCAGGGCTGGGGACACTTGCTATGCTTTCCAGTTGTTGCTTTAGTAGCTTCAGCTGCAGGGACTGCTACTGTGAAAAGGATGACTAGAAGTGGGCCCCACAGATTTTAATTTGGCATTTGCCCAACATCCACAGCATATAAGGTGAATATTAAGTGATGCATATCTATATTCACTCTCTAGATCTTCTCTGTATATAACCTCCCTGAGCCTGCAGGTCACCATGAAAAGAACCCCAGGTAATGATAGACATTAGTCCTTTCCACGGAACTCTCGGTGTAAGAGGCCCTAAGTCTAAGGTGGTCTCTAGTCCCTTATTTGATGCAGAGCACTGGTGTTCTTAGATGCTGAACTCTTATACTCTTTATCTGCTTCCCACCCAAAACACCAGGAGCTGACTCAGGGCATTCTTCCTTTTCTGGATTATGGAGCTGTTAACTTTTATTTACTTCAGTCTGTTTATATCTTTTTGTTTCCTTTCTTTCCCTTTTTAAAATTATATATTTTATCTATTGTACCTGTGTTTGAAGGAGAAGTTAATGAAGTTAATAAACTCTGTGCTAGAATTGCAGTCCTCCACTCTTTACAGACTTATTTTTTTTTCTACTGAGAATTGTTGTTGTTGTGAAGTGCCGTCGAGTCGGTTCTGACCCATAGCGACCCTGTATAGGGTTTCCAAGGAGCAGCTGGTGATCTTGAACCACCAACCTTGCAGTTCAAACGGCTCTGTAGTGTGGCACATTAACCCCCAGTGCCACACCAGAACTCCTCTGAATAAGACTACTCTATTTAGAAAACGTCTCTCCCTAATTCCCTTGGTCTCAGCTGAATTTACCATATCCTGGACCATGAGTTTATATTTACTATGGAGCACTGAAGGCTGCCGTTGGGTGCCAGTTCTTAGCTACATGACATAGCTAGTCACTATGCACTTCATGTTTCTTCTCTATTCATCCAGTAAATAAATGAACAATAAAGCACAGAGAAGCAGAAACAAAAAAAAAAATAAAAAAAAAATCCATCAAGCAACCAGAGAAAAACTACTATCAGTGGTTTGGATTTATATTTTCTGATAACTAGGCTCTTTCATGGACAAATTAATCAGTTAAAAATCCTCTTTTGTCTGAGCTTGATTGGTGAAGGTTATTTCTTGAATCAAATTGTTACCTTTGGATACTTTGATTGAAGAGTCAATAAATGCGGTGCTTCTTTTCTTTTATAGGGTGGTTGCTATGTCTGACTCGGTAATTCTCCGCAGTGTGAAGAAACTTGGAGACGAGAATTATGCCTTCGAGTCAGATGGGTCATGTAAGTGGTCTTTTCCTCTAATTGTCTCTTGTACAAAGAGAAGAGAAAACAGAAGTAGGCTGGGATAGTAAAGTTTCAAATTGTAGGCAACAATATGGGTGTGATTCTTACACACAACTGTGTCACTGTTCCTAGAACCTAAGTAATGCAATGTCTGAAAGTACTAGGTAAGGTGGATGAGTGAAAACTGAGTCTAAGTCTAAATACATTTCACTCCTGTGGGGAGTAGGGTTGTTCCTGAACTGGCTAGTAATATAGGCTTTAGTCATCGGTTGTGGTTATTGATCAGAATAGTAACAGGGGCATCATTTATGAGTCAGCGTCTCCCAAGAGCACAAAAGCTCTGCTGGCTAGAATGAGTCAACATGGAAGGGAGGCCATGACATTAGTAGTTGGCATGTAGAAAGTACAGATGATTCTAAACTCTTATTATTTTCTAATCCTATGATTGTATATTTTACATATGAAGGAACTGAGGTTTAGATATGTTAAAACAACAACAACAACAACAAAAAAAAAACAAAACTTGGTCAAGGTCACATGACTAAAAGTGAAGTCCAGTTTGTTTGATTTCCAAAGCTCAAGATACTGACCTCTATCTGTACTATAAAATGTCAGTCATTCTTAATGTGATTCTGGAAACCCTACATGTATCAGAGTAGAACTGTGCTCCCTAGGGTTTTTAGTGGATTGTTTTGGGGAAGTAGATCACCAGATTATTCTTCCGAGGCACCTCTGTATAAACTCAAACCACCAACCTTTTGGTTAATAGCCAAGTGTGCTAACCGTTTGTACCACCCAGGTACTCCATCTGCTCTACAATGCCCCTTTATTCTTACCTCACACTGTAGCTGACAATGCCAGGGCAAGGGAACCAGGAAGGGTTGCCCATGATGATGGATGATGCAGGCACCTTATGGGTCTTTTCCCAGGGGCTGCCTTTACCCATGACTTCCATCTCCTACCTCTACCTCTGCTCTAACCTGCACTGGGGATGAGCCTATGTGACTAAATGTATAGCCTCTGCTGGTATGGAATTGTCAGTGGGGTATTTTGCCCTGTTAACTAATCTGTGGTCTATATTTTAAATTGATAAATACTGATGCTTTTAAAGGACAAGGCAATAAATATCTGGTTATTTTATAATTTAAAAAAATCAGGTTTCTTTAGCTAAGAACTATTGGACACCATCTAGTAATCAGATGGTACAAATATTTCATGTCCTGGAACAAAGTCCTGGGGATGCCGTAGGATAAGCATTGGACTGCTAACCTCAAGGTTGGCAGTCCAAACCCACCAACCAACCCTCAGAAACCCTATACAGGGTAGCTATGAGTCAGAACCGACTTGACAGCACTAAACAACAGCAGCAACGAGTAATCACAAGGCCAGTTGTTCAAACCCACCAGCTGCTCCGCAGGAGAAAAATGAGGCTTTCTGCTCCCATGAAGATTTACAGCCTCAGAAACCTATAAAGTGGAATCAACATGATGTCAGTGAGTTTGGCTTTGCTTTGGAGCAAAGTCCAGTAATAAAGTTGACCCCTCAAGTTTAGACTGGCAGTCTAGCAGACATGAATCTTAAAGTGTATCTTCTGGAATACACAGAGATACCGAGAGAGAAGCACCAAAAGAAGAGAAAAAGCAAATAATCATTTTGCAATGTTCCATGAATATTATGTATTTTGTAGGACTGTTTTTGAAGAGTAATAGTATTAATTATCATGTTGCATTTTGTTATTATTAACTGCCTTCTGCATTGCTTCTATTTTGACAGATAACAACGATAAAAAATCAAGGTAAGAGACTAAGTATTCCAACAACGCAGCAGCTTGTCTAGAATAACTGCATAATCTTCTTGTAAAAAGACACAGAGCAAAGACAATATTTTCATGTACATTTCACACTCCATAAAATAAAGACCCATATAATTCACTCTTTTCTTCTTTAACACAGGACTATAATTTGATTGAAAAAATCCTTGGGCCTATCCCTTCTATATTAGCTTTGGATTTCCCCTGGACATCTAGGCACACAAAAAAATTGTCATCTTAAAGGAGTCCAGGTAGTGTAGTGAGTTACAAGTTGGGCTGCGAACTGCAAAGTCAGCAGTTTGAATCTACCAACCGCTCCATGGGAGAATGATGATACTTTCTGCTCCTGTAAAGATTTGCAGCCTTGGAAACCCTATGCAGGGTCGCTGTGAGTTGAAACTAACTCCACAGCACAAGACCACCAATTAGACAGAAGGAAAGTGGACAAGTATGATCTCGTGGGCACAGAGGAGGCCCTAGATCTCAAATTCTTCCCACAGGCAAATAGTAGGAACACAACATTTAACTTTTAGATTTTTCTTTTTTGCAATTCTGATATAAAACAAACAAATGTTAGTTAATTACAGTTTGACATGAAGGTAAGATTCAATGTGATCTAATTTAGAAGACAGATATGAGGCAATGAATTCTGGAAATGGAAGAGGTGGGAAGGGAGGAGTTAAAGGTAATTAAAATATAAACAGTTCATGGAAGAGGGAGGAGATAGGTGTGGTGAGGACAGTTTTGGATTAGTTGGTGTAGGGTCAATTTGGGTTTAGGAGGGAAAGAGTTGAAATGGGGTGTGGATGCAGATGAATAACAATTAGAGGATGAGCAGGAGGTTGAATGTCTTTTGTTTTTAAAGTAGATGAATATTTCCTGGTAGATGCAGTCACAGAATAAGAGGATCACTGTGCAAGTTGGACAAAGCTGCTAAGGGAATGGGTGCAATCTGTGGAGTAACAAAGTATTGCGAAGAGTGTTGAGCTAGGACTGGAGATCCCGCTGCCATCCATTCATTCTGTTCATAAATGCTACTTGAATGTCTGCTGTTGTTGTTGTTAAATTCCATGAGTCGATTCTCACTCATAGCAACTTTGTATAGGGTTTCTGAGTAGAGGCTGAAGAGTTCAAACTGCAAATCTCGTGTTTAGTATTTCAGTGCTTATCCTACATCACCAGACCCCAACTGAATGCCTTCTAGGTGTCAAACACTGTTATAGGTGCTGAGCATATACAAGAGAACAAAACTGGCAAAAATCTTTGCCTTTCAGGAGTTTACATTTTAGTAGAGCCAAATAAAGTAAACCCAATACCATTCCAACCCATAGCAACCTTTATGGGGACAGACAGATTCATCTTTCTTTTACCAAGCAGCTGGTGGGTATGAACCACCAACCTTGCAGTTAGTAGCCCAGTGCCTAACTCAAAGTGCCACCAGGCCTCCTTTTCAGTAAGGGAGACATAATAAACACCACAAACAAATATGGCAAATCCAGGAGCTCTGGTGGTACAGTGGTTAAGCATTCAGCTGCTAATGGAGTTTGGTGGTTCGAGCCCATTAGGCATTCCATGGAAAAATATGTGGCAGTCTGCGTCCATAAAGATTTACAGCCTTAGACAATCTCCAGAGCAGCTCTACTATGTCCTATAAGGTTCCTCTGAGTCAGGGTTGACTCAGCAGCAAATGTATTGTATGGTAAACTCATTGCCTCCTATTGAGTTGATTCTTATTCAAGGAGATTTCACATACTTGAAAGGTTTTTTAGTGGCTGAAATCTTATAGAAGTAGATCTTTAGGGCTTTCTTCCAAGAAGGAAAAGTAAACATGAAAATGTAAATGAAATGGTGATGGTAGGTGTTGACATTTTAGAGATTTTGGCCAGGGAGGACTCCACTGAGAAGATGACTTGTGTCTGAAGGAAGGGAAGGAGCTGGCCCTCGGGTATTTGAAGAAAGATCATTCTGGGGAGAGGGAATTGCGTTCTTTTTTTTTTTTTAAGTGCCTTTGGGTTGGTTCCGATTCATAGCGACCTTGTATAGGGCTGCCGAAGCTTCAAATCTTTGTAAGAGCCAAAAGCCTCATTTTTCTCCCACGGTGCAGCTGGTGAGCTCGAACCACCAACTTTGTGATTTTCAGTCCAGCGCTTATCCCACAGAGCCTCCACACATCCAAGGAGAGGAAATAGCAAGTGCAAAAACCTAGAGGTAGGAACAAATTTGACAAAGACAAAGAACAACAAAGAGGCCAGGTGATGGAGTAGTGAGAACAAGGAGCAGAGGAGTTGAAGATGAGGTCAGAGAGTTAACTGGGTCAGACTGAAGAGGCCCTGGATGTTTTAGTAAGGATTCTACTTTGAGTTCAAAGGGGCAATTAGCATTGGACAGACATAGCGGAGAGATTTTCTCCAGTGGTCTCAGCAACAAAGCTAGAGAAGGAAGGGGGTAGAAATAGGTGAATGGATGCAGAGTTGGCATTTTCGTGGATGGATATGGAGAAAAGAATTGAGTCTAATGGGCCTGAATGCTAGGCAGCGGAGCCTGGGATGGAAGGGGAGGTAGACAAATCTTGGTGGGTTTATACGTAATAAAGTGTTTAAGGGATTGCATGTGTCAACTGCTGTTGTTAAGTGCTGTAGAATTGGTTCTGACCCTGTATAGTGTTTACAAGGAGCAGCTGGTAAGCTTGAACTGCTGACCTTGGAGTTCAAATGGCTTTACAGTCTGGCACATTAACCCACAGGGCCACACCAGGACTCAATAGAAGCAAATGAATAAGTGAAGGAGGGAGGAAGTGAGCAAATAAAATGCACAGATAGTTCCTGGTGAGGTAGGTCCAGGGTGTGGCCACAGAGGGGATGACTCACGTGAAGTCATCTGGAATTGAGCAGGTCAAGAAGGGGTTAAACAGAAACCTTCTGAGAAATGGAATGAATAAGAAATAATGGAAGTAACATGATTCTATGGGAGGATGAGAGTTTTCAAATTTTCATCATATCAAAACAGTTTAGTATAATTATAAAATATTTTAAGAGCGAAAAGGAAGCTTCAAAATCAGTTAGTCCAACCACTTCAATTTAAAGGAAATTTAAGAACAAATAGATTGGAGATCTTGGTTGAAGTCAGATGATTATTTGTTAGTACTGGGGGTATAAAGCATTCTTCACATTCTCTCAGAAAACTCTCACTAAACCTTTCCTGAACGTGAGCTATAGGTACGTGGCAATCTCTGTTGTTAGCTGCCCTCTGGTCAGCCCGGACTCCTGCACAATGGATCAGATTAATATCTGATCACTTGCCATTCATAATCAGTTATGGGGCTGACCATTGTAATCTATAGGGCTTTCACTGGCTGATTTTCAGAAGCTGATAGTTTTAGTCTTAGTCAGCTCTGCTGAGATCTACTCACCTGACATCAACACATAAGTCTTCACTGAAGGTTGGGAGGTGGCTGTGCAAAAGGAACATTGGTTAGGAATTGAACCCAGATCTCTTGCATGAAAGGCAAAAATTCTGTCAATGAAGCAGAGGTCCCTAGGACCATCAAGGGTGAAGAGTGGAGAGTGGGACCCTACCCAGTGAAGCAGTGATGCCGGAGATGGAGGCAGAGAAGATGACGTGGAGAGATAGAGCGGCCAGGGACTCTAGACCCAGAGAGGGAGAGGGGCTGTGTGCTGACAACCAGGATGCAGGCTTGCAGGGTATACCCTTTGGTTGGTTGATGATGCATGGAGGGGATTGTAACCATGGCGATGAAACGATATACGATAGGATGAATGTAAAGCTAATGTTCTCCTATGTAAACTATCACATAATTCACAATAAAACATTAAAAAAAAATTTCTGCCAATGAACCATGACTTTCTCCAATTGTTTTTGTTAGGTGCTATTGAGTTGGTTCCTATTCACAGCAACCCTATGTACAACAGAGTGAAACACTGCCTGGTCTCACACCATCAACATCCTCAAAATCATGGTTATGTTTGAGGTCATTGTTGCGACTGCTATGTCATCTGTCTCACTGAGGGTCTTCCTTTCTTTGCCAACCTACTACTTTACCAAGAGTCCTGGTGTGGCGCTATGGGTTAATGTGCTGGACTGCAAGTTCTGTTTGAACCACAAGGTCAGCGGTTCAACTTCACTAGTCGGAATTGACACAGCAGCCCATAACAACAACAACAATTGCTTTACAGAGCATGAGGTCCTTCTCCAGGCACTGATTGTTGTTGTTGTTATGTGCCGTGGAGTCGGATACCTCTTGATAACATATCCAAAGCATGTGAGACTAAATCTTACCATCCTCACTTGTAAGGAACATTTTGACTGTACTTCTTTCAAGACAGATTTGTTCATTCTTTGGCAGTCCATAATGTATATTCAGTAACCTTTGCCAACACCATAATAATCCAAAGCCATCAATTCTTCCTGGGTTTTCCTTTTTCATTGCCCAGATTTTGCATTCAAATGAGACAGTTGAAAATACTATGGCTTGAGTCAAGTGCACCTTAGACTTCAAAGTTACATCTCTGAATTTTAACACCTAAAGGAGCTCTGGTAGCGTAGTGGTTACGAATCGGGCTGCGAACCTTAAGGTCAGCGGTTCGAAACTACCAGCCGCTCCGCGGGAGAAAGATGAGGCTTTCTACTCCTGTAAAGATTTACACCCTCGGAAACCCTGTACAGGGTCGCTATGGGTCGGAACCGACTCGACGGCACTTAACAACAACAACAAAAGTGGTCTAATTTTACATCAGATTTTCCCAATAGAATACGTTGTTGGATTTCTTGACTGCTGTTCCCACGGACATTGATTATGAGTCCAAGTAAAATGAAGCCCTTGACAACTTCAATCTTTTCTCCATTTATCATGATATTGCTTAATGGTCTAGTTATGAGAATTTTTGTTTTATTTGATTTCTTTCTTGCAATCCATACTGAAGACTGCATTCTTTGATCTTCATCATTAAGTGCTTCAAGTGCTCTTCATTTTCAGAAAGCAAGGTTGCATCATCTATATATGGTAGATTGGTTAATGAGTCTTCTTCCAATCAGGATGCTGCCTTCTTCTTCATATAGTCCAGTTTCCTGGATTATTTGCTCAACATGCAGATTGAATAAGTATGATAAAAGGATACAACTCTGACACACACCTTTTCCGATTTTAAATCATACTGTATTTCTTTGTTCTGTTCAAACGATTTTGTTGTTCTATGTACAGGCTCAGAATGAGCACAATTAAGTGAATGTATCTGGAATCCCTATTCTTTGCAATGTTATCCATAATTTGTTGTATGCCTTGCTTGGACAGGTCAATCTAGAAGAGAAAATATTTTGCTTTTAAGATACCTGACTTGACCAGAATTTCTCAACATGTGGGAGCTTTATCCATTCTAAAGATTGACCTATAAAATTGCCACCTAGTGAGAATTTATTATTTTAGAAAGGACTATCATCATATCTTGTTTTTCTCTTCAGGTTACAAGATGAGAAGAAAGGTGACAGAATTCAAGTTGGCTTCTTTCAATTGGTAATAAAACTGTCCTGGGTATGCTAGCTATAAAGTGCTGATTTATGATGACTGTGATTTGTTCAGACCATGAAGGAAGTGTTAAATCTTTACTCATAGTGACTTGTCATATCTTTTTCAGCCATAATCTTTGCTTATGTGATAGCTTGCTGAATAATGATTACAACTACATTGCTGATTATTCATACAAATCCTACATGGTAGATCAGAAAACTGTCTTGGAAAACAATCACTAATTAATCATTTTAATGAGTAAAATTGTAACAGTAATCCTGACAGTGTGTTGATTCTTCTGAAAAGGTTTTCAAAATTCTACAATATAGATACTTTCCCAAAATTTAGCTTCACAAAGAGGGTGAAGTTATTCTGGCACAGAGACATTCAGTTCTGTGAATCCGATTTATTGTTGACATATCCACATATCCATTTGGCAGTAGCATTGTGACAGTGATTATTTCCCCACTAAGTTGTAAATGCTTTGGACAAGTTATCAGGAGGGACCAGTCCCTGAAGAAAGATATCATGCATGGTAAAGTGGAGAGATGGAGAAAAAGAGGAAGACCCCAATGAGATGAACTGACACATGGGCAGCAGCAATGGGCTCAAATTGTACCAACAATTGTGAGGCTGGTGCAGGACAAGACAGTGTTGTGTTCTGCTGTGCATAGGGTCACTATGAGCTGGAACTGACTCGAGGGCACCTAACAACAACAACAACAAGTTGTAAATGAATAGCTAAGAACTAAATTTAGTACATGAGGTAAAGAGAATAATCTCAGAGACTAGAAAAGAACTAGCACAAACTAGTAATGGAAGGGAGTCCCTGGGTGGTACAATTGGTTAATGCACTTAGCTGCTCACTGAAAGGTTTGGAGTTTGAGTAGACCCAGAGAGGCCTCAGAAGAAAGGTGTGGCAGCCTACTTCCAAAAAATCAGTCACTGAAAAAAACATAGGAAACACAGTCCTATTCTGACACACATGTGGTCACCATGAAGTGAAATAGATTCTAACGGTCACTGGTTTTCATAGTTTAGGAGTTTAGTGTTTTAGATAATTGATTTAAAGTAAACTTCAATCACATTAGGCTGAACTCTACTATTTAATCAAGATGATTCCCATAAAATTTGATGTTGGAAACTACTTAAAAACTCTAGTAACTAAAATGAAACAGTCCTACCTTTCCTGCTTTTTACCCAGAGATGACCTTTGAACCCTTGTTTTTCAAGTTTCGATTTTCTTCATCAACTGACATTTGGCTGATGTTTGTGGGAAGCTTATGTGCATTTCTCCATGGAGTGGCCCAGCCAGTCATGATACTCATTTTTGGCACAATGACAGATGTTTTTATTGACTTTGACAACGAATTGCAGGAGCTCAGTATTCCTGGAAAAGAATGTATAAACAACACCATAGTATGGACTAACAGCTCTCTCAACCAGAATGTGACAAATGGAACACGTTGTGGGTAAGTAGCTATTTTTCACTTTTTTGCTCATATCTTAATATGTCATTGAAAATGTCTTTATTGGTTGAGCTGAAATAACTAACACAGAACAAACAGAAACATAAATTTACCCATTTCTGTTGTTGTTAAGTGTTGTTGAGTCAGTTCCAATTCATGTTGTTGTTGTTGTTAAGTGCTATTGAGGAAGTTCTGACTCATAGAGATCCTGTATAGGGTTTCCAAGGAACAGCTGGTGGGTTTGAACCACCAACTTTGCTGCTCAAATTGACCTTGCAATCCAGTGCTTTATCCTACAGTGCCACACCAGGACTCCAAATTTACCCATACATCTGCAAATTATTCTTCCCTAAGATTCTTCCCATTCTAGTGGGTTTTCTAGTCTTAATAACAGAATTGCAAATTACCAATTTAATACATCACTTGAATTTAATCACTTTTTGGAATAGAGACTTGAGCATGACACTACCACTACTAGGGTGATATAAGAGTGCTGGAGTGAATAAACATTGGTCTGATAACCACAAGGTCGGAAGTTCAAACCAGCCACTCTTGGAATGCCTATATAGGGTCACTTGAATCAGAACTAACTCAAAAGCACACAAGAACAACATTGAAGTATGATAGTCAAGATCATGCATAAATGTGGCTAGCCAAGATTCTCAGTGTTTGACAATTATGTAATGATACAGTTTAGCAATTCTATAATGATACTGTTATCCTCCATTTTGTGATATAATGCATTCATCTCCACGAGATGATCTGATGTGATGAGTCATCCCATTATAAGGGAGTTTCTTTGGGGGTGTAGCCTGCATCCAATATATACAGATACTCGGGTAAAGCTTGATGACTTTTTCTTGCTTTGGATCCTGCCTCCAGCTCATCATCTGACCTCTGATTTTTTGGGACTGGAGTCAGCAACCTTTTGTATGGCCTGTTGATCTTAGATTCATCAGCCTTCCCAGTTTCTGAGTCAGTGGTCTGCCATCAGACCAGTTGATCTCAGATTCTTCAGGCCCTGAAGCTACATGAGTCAAAAGAAGCCTGCAGTCTGATGCCTGATCATAGACTTAGGATTTGTCAGCCTCAACAACCATGTGAACCATTTCCTTGGAGGACCACTTCCATAATGGAAGAAGAGTGCTTTATTTTTACTGAAATAGATGCTTATTTTGGATACAGATTTGTCTTCTTTGCACACAGTGCTTCTACCAAAACTACTATCTGTGAACTTACAGAATGCCTTATCTTCCATCATAGTATTCCACAGAGCATCACTTTGGATCACTTCACAGTGAATGATGGGTGGCATTACACCCATACTCATGGAATTCACTGGCCTTACCATTTCCCCATCATCCTGAAGTTGACTTGATGCAATAGCCTTCTAAAGACACAATTATGGTATCAGTTAGGTGGTAATACCTTGCAAAGTTGGGACAGTGTTCTCCCGGAAGTTGCATTATGTCTAACATATGGTGCCTTCTACCCCCTCATGGCTTAGATTCTTGTGCCCAAGCATCAAGGGTGGAAATAAGAGTGACAACTCTCACTATTATTTCTAGTGACCCACTTGCAAAATTTTTGCTTTCTGTCTCTATGGCTCTATGCTCTGTGGATCTAGAGGTCTTAGTTCCAAAGGAAGAAATGCTCTCCTCAGGAGATACAACACTGATTTCATGGCACTCTACCATTGTGGGTTTTCATGCCTCTTGATCAACAGGCAAAGAAAGGAGCTACTGTACTGGCCGGTGTGATTGATCCTGATTATCAAGAGGAAACTGGACCGATATTATATAATGGAGATAAAGAAGAGTATATCTAGATTATAGAAGATTCCTTAGAACATCTGCTAGTGCTACCATGTCTTGTGATTAAAATCAATGGAAAATGACAGTAACTCAATTCCAACATGATTACTAATGTCTCAGACACTTCAGAAATGAAGTTTTGGGTCACCCCACCAGGCAAAGATCCATGACTAGCTAAGGTACTTGCTGAGGGAAAAAGAAATACGGAATGGGTGGTAGAAGAAGGTAGCTCTAAGTACTAGTTACAATCACATGACCAGTTGCATAAACTAGGACTGTAATTATTTTTTAGTACTTCTTCCTTATTTCATTATACTTGTATGTATATGTGTGTATGTATAACATGGTATTAAATGGTAGCGGAATTTTTGCACAAACTTTTTATGCTTGTATATGTGGTTATGGATCGGGCTGCTAATCTCATGGTCAGCAGTTTGATACTATCAGCTGTTTTATGGGAGAAAGATGAGGGTTTCTGCTCCCGTAATGATTTACAGCCTCGGAAACCCTGTACAGGTCTCTATGAGTCGGAACTGACTCCATGGCACATAACAACAACAGCATATCTATCTATATGAGGGGGATTCACAAAGTTTGTGAAAAAATGGAACTGAAAGATAGTGAGATTTTTCTATAAACTTTTTGAAGTCCCCTAATATGTGTAGCAAATATCTTTGTTTTTGTGTCCCATCCCCTTCCTTATTCCATTAGTTACTTGTGTGGTGCTGTACGGTAAGTATTGGACAGTTAACCACAAGGTTGGTTGTTCACATCAACCTATACAGAATCACTATGAGTCAGATCTGACTTGATGGCATTTAACAAAATTATAAAAATGTAAGACATAAATGGGGCTAGTGTGTTTTTAGTTGTGTATATGTTAGTTGTATCATATTAGGTGCAAATATGACTTATAATTGTCTTTATTTGGAAATATGTATCATTTAAGAAGATGTGTGCAGGCATATAGTTGACAAGGGGTGGATTGTGATGGATAAGGCTATATGTCAACAACTTGGCTAGGCCATCATTCTCACTGTTCTGGAAGTTACGAAATTATATAATTTGGCAGACATGTAGTATTATTGTTATTAAGTGCTGTGGAGTTGGTTTCAACTCATAGTGACCCTGTATAGAGTTTTCAAGGAGCAGTTGCGGATTTGAACCACCAACCTTGCAGTGAACAGTCCAGTACTTATCCTATAGCACCATACCAGGACTTCATGTAATAATTATTTATCCTCTTTTTTGTATGATGTGATCATCTCCAAGATATAATCTGATGTGCTCAGCCAATAAATTGTAAAGGGAATTCCCTTGGGATGTGACATGCATCCAATATGGGCATTCTGGTAAAACTTGCTGGCTTTTTCTCACTCTGGATCCCACATGTGGTACACTATCATCTACCATCTGTTTCTTGGGACTTGAGCCAATGATCAACCATATGGACATTTCTGATCTTGGGATTCATCAGCCTCCATAGTCCATGAACCAGCAACCTCCTGTCTGATCTACGGATCTTGTGTTCAATGTCCTTCTTAGCTACATGAGTCAGGACAAGTCTCAAGCCTTACACCTGACCCATGACTTGGGACTTGCCAGTCTCTGGTCATCTCCTGCTTTAGGCTGTGTTCTCTAGAAAAGTAAAACCAGTGAATAAAGTATGAGGTGACCCATGAATTAACTTTAGTTCTCACCATGTTTCATGATACCCATGAATTCCTTTCTTCTCCATCTTTTTTTTGCTAATTCTTTTTGCCCCGTAGTTTCTGCGGCTGTGGCTAATGATATACTTAATGCACATTCCTTTGTATAATAGGAATTTCATAAGCTATTTGACTTGGGAAGGAGCCCTGGTGATGCATCAGTTAACTGCTCAGCTCCAAACTGAAAAGAATGATCAGTGTTTGAAACCCACCAACTGTTCAGTGGAAGAAAAGACCTTGGTATCTCATTCTGTAAACATTACAGCCTAGGAAGTCCTATGGGACAATCTACTCTGTCATAAGTTTGCTATGAGTAGAAATCATCTGGATGACACACAACAACGAAAACAATGACTTGAGTCAGTCAGTAATTGAGTTTTCATAGAAGAAGTAATATGGTGCTCTGAGCAAATAAGGCAGCTATGAAGAAATAGCCAGACTCAGACAGACATATTACCTGTGTACTGTTCTCCTTGTGATAAGTCTGACAGGCTACCTTGTAATCAGTGAGTCCATAGTGTAAATAGAGTTGACGCATTATAAAAGTGCAAACTTTGTAATCTTCCTCACAATGCTTCAGGGAAAGAACAAGCTCATTCATTTACTCAGGCTTGAGAACCATGGGCACATCTTTTAATATTTTGATTTTGAGATATTGTGGCAATTGACATTAAAGCTAGTTGTTGTACTTCCAAATGACATACTCATTTAGCTTTTATGCTATAAGAATCCATGTGATATTAATGACATTATTCAATAATTTCCACACTCGGCTGAATCACCTTTAAACCTATCTTGTTGTTTGGAGTCAAGTTTTGACACATCTTGACCTGACATGACAGAGTAGAGCTGTTTCATCTAGACCTGTTTTCAGTTAGCAGTTGAGCACTTAACCGTTGTGCCACAAGAACTTCTTCTTTCAAAGCATACATGTTTCAAACAACTTTTTAAAAGATATAATTTACATAACACACAATTCACCCATTTAAAGGATCTTAGTATATTCAGAGTTGGTCATTTTGCACCACAATCAATTTTATAGTATTTTTATTGCCACCAAAAGAAATCTTGTGAACCCCTTGAAAACATTTACTTGCGCTAGTCTTCTAAAAACCAAATAAGATTTTAGCCTTTAGCATTGTGCCCTTTCAAGATCTAGCTAAGATCAAACTGATAACTAACTGGGAAGATCAGATAGGAAATTTAGAAGCAGTGAGTTTTTTTGTTAATGGGGAAAGAACAGCTCAGAAAAAGAGTGAGGATGGTTTTACAAATTCGAGGTATGCTGTAAGTGTCACGAGAGTCCTGGCGTGGCACTGTGGGTTAATGCGCTGGGTTGAAAAGTTGGTTTGAACCCCAAGGTTGGTGGTTCAAGCTTACCAGCTGCTCCTTGGAAATCATATACAGGGTTGCTGTGAGTTGGAACTGACTCAATAGCACTTAACAACAACAATAACAATCAATGTCACTAAATTGTACA